ATGTCAAACAAATTGAAATATCTCGGGAACAAACCATAAAAACAAGAAACTGAAATATAAGTTACACTACAGCTTAAAGAGTTCTTTCATTTAAGAAACTAATAAATTTCATGTCATATGCACTTTAAAAGCAATAGATAATGAGATGAAATGCCTTTGGTAATTGTTTATTTCGTAGTGTAAGCCATCAGCTTTTCTAGGTTGTCAGCGAACCTATATAGTTCTTGCAGTGTCTTTTTCAATTTGAAACTTCACACTATCCTTGGATCCCTAGTTTAAGTGTAACTGTTGCCTGTTTTTTTTTTTAATTTGAAAGTATACTATGTATGTACCAACTTATTGTTATGTTCATTCGTGTTTTATAGGCTGCTGTAGATGCTATGAGGATATTGAATGACTTGAAACCGGACCTTGTTTGGTTATCCCTCAATGACCTATACTGTCCCAGAGTTCCACAGCTACCACCGTCATGTTCGTCTTCAGTTTTTCCCTACGTGCAGTTTGCTGGCTTCAATTCAGACAAGAGTGCAGAGTACGCTGTTAACGTGAAAAAACTACTAGAAAATGAACAAACATAATTTGTGGTCACTTAAAATATCATTCAGAAAATGTGTTCTACTGTAAATGGGCACTTTGTATCATGTACAATTGAGGATAATTGAAGTAGATGGCGCCACGGATTGCATGCTGGTTAAATCGACAAGTTATAGATTATGTAGATAGAAGAGTGAGCGCGAAGTAAAATACCGTATGCATTCTAATAAACGCCCACTATCTAATAAACTCCACTCCAATAAACGCTCCCTCAACTTTCGGAGATTTGTATTAAATGCCTCTCCCTAATAAACGCCCCCTTCCGAGAAAATAAAACGCCAAAGTCAACGTTTCGTGTTTCAACGTTTTCATTTACATTCACTTTTGATATTTTAAAAGATGAGGACTTCTGCACTTCTGCAGAGTAATGACTGTTCGTACTCGGATTCAAAATGAGTATATTTATCTTTAATGCGTCTCAGTTCTGGTTGAAGAATCCTCGCACATGCTTTTGACTTGGAAAATTTGTAGATTGGCGCGCAGAATTTGGCTCAATGCTGCGACATTGGGGTAATTCAATTTGCAGGTTGCAGTGCTAATGTAATGCTGTATATCCAAAAATCTGTTTCAGAAAATGCAGCCAATTGCAGTCATAGGGATGGAAAAATACAAAAATTTTCTGGGGGAGAATACCCCCAGACTATAAAATGCGATACCACACCAAACGTTTTATTACCAACAAACCATCTATCATTTCTCCACACTCGGTATAGTATGGTCCCTTTTCGTAGATGGCCTCACTGACGAATTCTTAAAAACAATATTTAAACAATATTTGTAAGGGAAATACAATATTTGTAGGGGAACATAGTGGAAAATTGCGTATTGTGCTGTAGGGGAAACGTAGGGGATTTCAGTGCCCGACCTACAATCACGTGTAAAAATAATGAGACTACGTATTTCAAACATTTTTTTTCATTTTGACACATCTACACTCATAATCATATAATTCGATCTTTTCTTACCATTTCCCCCCTCCAGTCCCCCATTGACAATGTTGGGTGAATGTTTTCAGCCAACACTGTGGTTTGGTATCATGAAAACAACATTGTTTTGGGGGGAAGTGGGGGCGAATAGGATGTCTCAATAATTTTTGCTCCTGATTGTAGGTGAAAATAGGTTATCGAGAGTGGCAGCCCTGCTGTAGATTCTTCCATTGTTTTCGGCGTTGATTTGAAAGCCACCACGTGTTCAGAAAGGTTTTTGTAAAGCAATCTGTTAGCTGGGATGAAGTTAATAATAGATCATCATCGCCTGAAACAATTCAGTAAATCTTCTGAAACAGTTTTCGAAATTTTAAAAATAGCCTCTCTGCCCAACTATATGTAAAAGTATTTTAGAGTTTATAAAAAGCGGACTATGGCGACTAAGTCGAAGCTTATCAACCGAGACCTCGAGAGCGTTTCAAATAAGAAGGGGTGGTGACTTTTGTCCCCGTGGTGCAAAAGTTAGCAATCCCTGTATTTAGTTAATTTTGACGCTGTTAATATGGAAAATGACTTGCGTTTCACTTGGTCTGTTTGCTATACAAAAGTTGACTGTTTTATTTTGGGTTACATGACGTATAGCGGTTTAGGCATACGTCGGGGTTACATGAAGTACCTACTTCCATGTGTCATTGTAAACATTTATGTAAATTTTTTATTTATATTTGTGTTTATATTCTTCTGTGTTGTTTTATGTTGTTTAATTTTACATCATGTCGAGGACAAGCTTTCATGCTCATGAACTTCATAGAATAATGCTCTACGGCATGTCAACGCAAGATGTAGTAAGGTGCATGCAAGTATGTAAACATTGGAAGGTATATAAATTAAATATTTATAGTACATCAATACAAATAATCAAATCTATAATTTAATAATTAATGTTTTTAATTGGAAAACATTAAGAATGTATTTAACATTAGTTACCTGGGGCCACGCCTATATACAAGTTGCCACATAGAACGTCAAATTTGTAGAAACTTCCCACTCAACCACTGGTAAAGCCTCATTTGTTGCTTGTGGCCCACCCCCAGGGCAACGGGGCATGATCTTGAAAAACGGTATTTTCACTGTATTTGTCAACAAGCGTAACAAATTTTTAAATCAATATAACAAGTTGTCTGGCTATATTCATTAAATTAATATAAATTGTTACTAGAAGAAATGTACAGACTCGCAGCAAACGTTTCACGTTTGTTAACTTAATAAAAATTTAATAATAATAATAAAATAGAAAATGGCTTGTGTCATTTGCGTGCTTGCGTACTGTAATATAACAATTGTTATTTATGCTGTTTTTATATGAACTTAGATTTATTGATATCTTCCGATGTAATTGCGATGTTGTTCATTTACTGAACATTATAAAGGCTTTTGCTATGCATGCTCGTGGTACAAACTTTATATATGCTCCTTATATGATACTGTTGATTTCTTGCAACATTCATCTTGTTGATTTCTTCGGAACCTGTACACAATCTGTACTTCATCAATCGTCCACCACAACAACCAGCGACAAATGCCATTATGCCAACAATTAGCTCAGGCTCATTGACCGCTTCGTTACAAATCTCATATGCAAACTTGCAAAATTTAAATGTAGGGTGATAAAATAAATTCATTATATATTAGCCTTTGTAAAGGCATCAGCTCTTATTAAATATACGTAGGGCACATGGTTGCCCTGTGCCCCTGTAGCATAGAGCATGCAGCAATGGCAGCCCCCATGGTTGGCACCCCTGATTAGGTTGCAGTGCATTCTAATGTGCCCTACTTTATTATTCTACTCTGTCTAATGCCTGGTTCACACTGGTCGTAAGAATCGGGGATTTCCATTGTCTGAGGTCATTGGTGTGCAAAATGCTTTGTCTGTCGGAAAAGAATACAATAGATGGCCGATGAATTACGACCAGTGTGAACCAGGCTTAAATGCCAGACAATTCACTGAATTGACAAGGGAAGAGCGTTACTTGGTACTTAAAGGATTAACATAATAACAATCGGTGTAATTAGCACTATATAAATAAACAAAATTTGGAGTTTTGTTTTCAAAATTTGTGCCACTAGTATCATTTCTAAAAGCAGAGATCAATGTATTAGGAAACATAATACATATGGGAATTTTGCATTGAATAGGCATGCACCTGTCAAGAAAATCCCATATATCTCTCTAATGAAAGTTCATATTGGTTTTAAAAATGGTGCCTGTGCCAGAGTTTTCAAAATACTACTTACTTGCACTTATACTTACTAGCTACAGTATCACCACCTTTGCTATGACCTGCTCTTTTTATTTCTGGTATTTACTGTATAATAGAGAGAGCTACAGTACCATAAGATCTTAAATTGACTCAAATTTGTGATAAAAGTCTATAACTGGAGATAACTGTTTATATAAATTTTTATTTTACTTTAGACTGTTCTTTCAGATGAACATTTTTGGAAAGAGTTTATTAATGGGAAATTTGATTTGTCTGTGAATCCACAATTATTAGAAGGACCATTAAAATATTGGGGAACAAGTGACTGGTAAGCCAAGTGTTTTTTCAAAAGGAAAAAATTATATATAGGAGTATATAGCTATCTAGTATATGATTATGATTTATTTATGAATGGTTCATTTATTTAAGAAAATACCATTATAATTGATTATAACTCATTTGATCCGTAAGTATTTTAATTGAAACCAGTTATAGTTACAGGCTTACATGCTCAAAAAATGTAACTAGTTAATGTTACAAACTAAGTTACTTTCAATTTTTTGTGACTTGTTTAAACGTTACATCTGCCAAAAATGACATAACATTTTTTCTAGTACATTGGGCAAATTGGCCCGAACCTCAGTTATAGAAGGCCCAAAAATTTGTTTGGGGTCACCCTGAAAAGCAGGAATTAGTGAGATTTGGACTCCTTTTTTAGTAGACATGGATGGGAAAAAATTTTGTGACTATTTTTTTAATTGTCATAATCTGGAAACTCACCAACTTTTTTTGGAAAAAATAGGGCCCCCACTTAAAAATTTGACGGGGGCCTCCAGAGGTTGCATTTCGCCACTGTCCACAAGATGTACCAACCATAAAAATATGGAAAGTAAAAAAAGTAAAAATACACCTCAACTTTCTGACAATTGGTAGTTTTGTGGTTCCAACATCTTTCTTAGCCTGCTTACAGCCCCCACCCAAAAATTTCCAGTTTCCTTTGAACGAAATTTCAGGCTGCGAGCAGGCTACATCATCTTGGGCCTAGCTTGGATAGCTAGTATGTCGACCACTGGCTCATGTAAACTTGTGGTACAACTGGGCACAGCAAGAATATATTTGGTTTTTTTGGAACATATATTATCTGAGTGAAAGACTGCTGTGCTGGTGTTGTTGAATATTTCTCTCCAATGATGAAGTAGAACCTAATTGGTTGAAATGACCAAAAACATTTGTCACGTGGATGCATCTGAGAGAACCAATTATAACCAATAAAATAACCATTTTATTAATTGGTCAAAACAACCAAAATATTTGGTTTTATTAATAACCAATTATTAGGCCTACTGGTTTAAATGACCAATTAATTAATGGTTAATTTTATTGGTTTTACGGTGTAGACGGAATAGATGTAAATGGCATAAAATCGTTTCGCAAATGAATATATTAAAAGGATAAAATATGAAAGTTGCTCCATATACCGGGTGGCGCAAAAAAAAGTTAACCTGTTTGATTTGTTTTAACTTAAAAGCTAGAAGAGCTATTACACGTGAACTACGTGCATTGCATTCAGTATTGTCTAACTTAAATTTTGATATACGCCCTGTGCATTTTCGTGCAATATTGACCGAGAGAGCTGCATTTAAACTTGAGTAAGCATTTTTGGAAATGTCGAGAAATAGCCAAAAACGGCCTATCAAATATTTAATACAGCAATAACCTGTGCTTAGGCGAACTATAGTCAGAAAGTACACGTTCGTTGTCAGAGACCTGCCCAACGCCGCCGGTATAACCTCACGAGCATTATTTACCCTTGCATGTTCTAAAAATATCGAAACTCTTTGGTCTTTCGTTAAACGAGGCGTATTTATAAAAAACCACTTGACGTTTCTTTCTTGGAACATTAGAATTTGATTCCTCAGGGTCATT